ACACCTCCTTGGTGTATCATTCTTAGGAAAAGCACGAGCGAGAGAGAGAGAGTGAGAGCGAGCGAGAGAGAGAGCGAGAGAGAGAGAAACAGAGGAAGAGAGAGAGAGAGAGCGAGAGAGAGAGGAGAGAGAGAGAGAGAGAGAGAGAGAGAGAGCGCACAAGAGTCACCTATAGGCAGAAAGATGCCTCCCTGAGGTAGCCCTCTTCAGTGACAAGCGTACATAGGTCACCCTCCACCTCAAGCCACTCAGTCAGGGGACCCTGTAGTTTCCCAAAGGGCAAATCTTCCCTGGCCCACAGCACCTAAGAATCGCCTAACCCCAAGGAGCCTCTACTTGTCGTTTAGATTGGCCTTTTATCTACCTCGCAGGCCATGAGAAAGGTAAGGAAGCATCAGTTATGTGGCTGAGGCAGAGCCAAGCTGCCCCTGGCCCCCCCAAAGGCTTCCCAAGCTGCGCTTTGCCTACACAGAGGCCTCGCCTGCTGCCTGCTCCGTCCCGAGGCCCAGGCTGGGATGTGGGACAGAAACTGCCTAGTGAGACTGAACGCCCCTGCCCCGGGCCCTGATTTTAGGTACACTTCTTAGTAAGAGTCACTCCCAAAGAGCATGAGAAATGGTTCTGGAGAGGGGACACACAGCTTGGGGCTGGGGTGGGCACAGGCTGCCTGCCTGGCCACAAACAGCAGAACCCGGGGCCACACTCCCTGCGCCAGCTCAGACGGCTTACAGATGGGGCCCTTACAGACCTCAACAGATGGCGTGAACCGGTGAGGGGCACTCCTCTGCCCCAGTGTAGCAGAAGGAAGCTGGCCATGTTTGGTTTCACCCGGGATTTTCTTACCTGGCTCCCTCGGAACAGATAAGGGAGGGGATTTCTTTTTAATGTTTTAAGGTTGTTTACTATTGGTGACTCAGGAGCCTGTGGTTCTAAGATGAGCCCAAGGCTAGCAAAGCTGTTTTGTGTGGTGCCCTTAAAGCCTCAGGCGGTGGATTTTTTTTTCATTGTATATATTATTGTTCATATGTAGGAGTGTTTTGCCTGCATGTACATCTGTGCATCACATGCGGCTGACTGCAGAGGCCTGGCCTGGGACCCATGTGCTACTGCAAAGAGACACCGTGACCACGGCAACGCTTATAAAGGAAAGCATTCATTGGAGCCGGCTTACAGGTTTTGAGGTTTAGTTCCCTATCTTCATGGTGGCGAGCACAGCAGCATGCAGTCAGACTTGACAGCTGAGAGGTGTACATCAGCCGGGAGAGAGAGAGAGAGAGAGAGAGAGAGAGAGAGAGAGAGAGAGAGGTCCTCCATCAAAGCCACATCCCCTAATCCCTGTGCCCCTGTCCAGTAGTGTCACCCCCTGATGGCCAAACACTCACCTAGAGCCTGTGGGGCCATTCCTGTTCAGACCGCCACAGACCCTGTGGGACCTGGACCCGACCCTCTGCATGAAGAATAAGGTGCTGTAACACTGAGGCGTCTCTCCAGCCCAGTGAGCATTAATAAGACGTGAAGGGTCACCTCTGAACCCTCCAGCCCTTCCAGAGACTTTGATGACCACACACAGATTAGAGCAACACACTACCAGGTTCCTACCACACTAATAATAAGTGGCGGCCCCCCTGGAATCCCCTAACCACTTGGCCCACATCCTGCCCTCCCACTGACTTCCCTTGAAGACCCAAATTACCCAGATCTGAAAAAAAAAAAAAAAAAAAAGATCTAGAAAGCGTGGAGACAAATTAACAGAAACGAGTAGTTTTGTCTGAAAACTACACTCAAAGGAGCAAACAGGACCCTGGAGACTGCATTTTGCCTCTGAGGTGTTTTCTGAAAATGGGCCAGGACCCAAATGCCAGGACACCATCAGGAAGTCAGGTCAGGCTCCCCTACAGACTGCTTGGTGATGGGGACTCCCCACGGCCCCTCCAGCCCCTTGCCAGGCAAACCTGGGTACTTAAGACCAGAAGACTCTCAAAGCTCATACCCAGCCCAACATGAACATCACCAAATCCATCCCACTCATTACCCCATCCTCCCAAGCAGAATAAACCATTCTTCTTCAGTGTTCCAGAACATTCTAGCGCTCCCTAGTTCCTCTCTTCTCCCTAAATGTTCCCTGGGGCACACGGACACAGGTTCCCACATGCCTAGCATGGTGTCTGTCATATGGTAGATGTCTTGGCTAGGGTTTCCACTGCAGTCATGAAACACATGGCCAAAAGCAGCCTGTGGAGGAGAGGTCTTGTTTTCCTTACTCGTCCACAGCACATCAGGACAGGAACTCTAGCCAGGCGGGAAGATGGAGGCAGGAGCTGATGCAGAGGCCGTGGAGTGGAGTGGCTTTCTTGCTTTCTCCCATGGCTTGCTCAGCCTGCTTATAGATCCCAGGACCACCAGCCCAGGGATGGCCCCTCCGGGGATTGACGAGACCCTCCCCCATCAATCACTAATAGGAAAATATTCTACAGGTTCGCATGCCTACATCTGTGGAGGCATTTGAGGTTCCCTCCTCTTAGATGACTCTAGCTTGTGTCAAGTAGACCTAAAACTAGCTGATACAACTGATTCCTTGTCTACTAAACACAAACATACCACTTTTCAATTAAAACCTCTTTCTCATTTGTCACAAAGATGCTTTGTTAATAAAATATTGCAATATAACTCGTAAATGACTTTAAAAGTTCCAGTCTTTACAAATTCAAACACTTTAAAAATTCAGCCTCAGCGGGCGATGGTGGCACTCACCTTTAACCCCAGCACTAGGAGGCAGAGGCAGGCAGACCTGTAAATCCCAGTCCTGCCTGGTCTACAGAGAGCGAGTTCCAGGACAGCCAGGACTACACAGAGAAACCCTATCTTAAAAAATAAATAATAATAACAATAAAAATCAACCTCAAAAATATCAACTCTCTTTTAAACCCCAAAGTCTCTTAAAACTCTCTTTAAAAAGTTCAGTCTTGCAACCAACTGTGGGCCCAGTAAAATAAAATAAAAGCTTTCTTATCCCATGACAACCCAGTCACAGAACAAAGCAAAACCAAACTCCAGCAGCGAAAATAACTCAGCGCCCAATGTCTGGGACTCACTCACGGTCTTCGGGGGTCCAGCGGGCTTGCCACGACAGCCACACTTGTCTCCCCGGCTCAGGCAGGCTCCGCTCCATAGCTGCTGCGGCCTTTGGCAATTGTCCCATGGCCATCTGGAGTCTCCAGAGTGCCAGGGTCCGAGGCTGCAATTGGGCTAGTTTAACCCATAACTTCCTGGTGCCAAACCTGAACTCCACATGACCCCTTTAGTCTGGGGTTTCAACTGCTACTGAGGCTGCACCTTCACCAAAGGCCTCTCAGACTCTCACAGCACCGAGCCTCAGCTGCTCTCCATGACCCTCCCCTTCATGCCTTCTAAACCAGCACCACCTGGGAGACTCTCACAGGTGACCCTCAGAGCTGCCGGCACCAGGCGCGACCTAGTCCACCCCGCAACACGGCTCCGGTGTGCGGCCCCTGTGGAAACACTTCCCAGAAGACTTCACCTTGGTGATGCGGTCTCTTCCTCTTCAGTACTAATTTCTCAGCTCCAGCCGACCAGCAGCAACTGTCCCAGGGCAGCAAAGACTTTACTTTAGTGGTTGTTACCTTGTTCATCACAGCTGATTCTTCTGTTTCAGCTGACTGGAATCACGGGATCTTAAAATAGCAAACGCCCTGACGGACTGTAAGGGCCTCTCAACTTCCCTCTGAGTGGCCGTCAACCTTCTTCCAAGCTCACACAGAACAGCTCACCAAGGTCTGAAGTCCCCCAAAAACACATGGTCAGGTCTGTCACAGTAATACCCCACTACCCTGGTTCCGGTTTGTTTTGGTTAAAGTCTCTGTTACTGTGAAGAATACCAGACCAAAAGCAAGATGGGGAGGAAAGGGTTTATTTGACTTAAATTTCCATATCACTGCCCATCATCGAAGGAAGTCAGGACAGGAGCTCAGGCAGGGCAAGAACCTGGGGGCAGGAGCTGATGCAGAGGCCATGGAGGGATGCTGCTTACTGGCTTGCTCCCCATGGCTTGCTCAGCCTGCTTTTATACAGAACTCAGGACAGCCAGCTCAGGGCTGGCACCACCCACAATGGGCTGGGCCCTCCCCATCAATCATTAACTAAGAAAATGCCCCCGAGGCTTGCCCGCCCCCAGGCTTGCCCGCCCCCCCCCCAGGCTTGCCCGCCCCCAGGCAGCCTGCTCTTCCAGAGACATTCTCCATTGAGGGTCCCTCCTGTTAAATGACCCTAGCTGTGCCATAAAACTCGAGCACAGGTGACATGAATAAGCTTTTGTCATATGGAGTCAAAAGGTAATGAAGACACCCTTCACAGGGCTGAGAGTAACAGCCGCCACCAACATTAAATGAACCCTGGGCTGGCACGTGTGTTCCATTTCCTTGCATCTTTATGGCGGCCCCCACAGACTGCCTGTCTGCCCCTCCCCCAAGCTGTGACCCTCAAACAAATGGCCGCAGACTCATAGATGCAGTTATGCCTTTATTCCATTAGTGATCAATACAGCACCACAGCACAGCGGGGGCCCTGCCTGGGGACCCTGGGAGAGCGGGAGGACAGAATCAGGGGCCTCCAGCCCTGGCTGCTCTCTCCAAGGTGCAGAGGAAGCTGTGCCTGCCTACCTCCCCCAGCAGTGAGACAACCCACTGGAGAGGGCAGGCTGCTGAGCCAAAACCCACTGGACCCATGCCAGCCCCCTTCTGCCCAGGAGCACCAGGACTGCAGTGAGGGGGCTCCCAGGCAGAGCCGGGAGCCTGCGCGTGTGTTGTGTGCACGTGTGTACACGCATGTGCTTGTGTGTATGGGGGCAAGATGTCTACACTACTTAGCACATGAGATAGAATTGCTAAGCCGCAGGACCTGCCTGGGGACAAGAGAGACCAGGAACCAGGGCCTGGGAGGGGACAGTGGCAGAGACCATCTGCCACACAGCTTCCATTCAGAGAGGGTGGCGGCCCCTCTTGGGAGCAGGTGGAACAACAGACACTGCCCTTGGGCCTGGGCACAGGGGCCACCTCCGGCCGGAGCCACATCACGTGTAGGCCATCTTGCTGCACACCCAGGGCCGGGTAGCCAGACACTCGGTTGACACCAGCCTGGTAGGTTCCACAAAGACGCACTCCCCCATACCCGAGATGGCGAATCTGTGACGGGAGAGAAAAGACCAAGCGCTCACTCGCCTGCAGCCCATCACAGGTGGTCCCACAGGCCCTCTGGCCTGTCCGTCCCTCAAGCCATCTCTGGAGTATCTCCCGAGACACACATCCATGCTCCTTTCCAGCCTAGTCCCCCACTGTGCCAGCCCTGTGCTCCAGCCGCTGGAACTAACCACTCAGCACACCAGCCGCCAAAGCTCCCTGCCTTCTTTATCCTGTTCCTATCTCCTTCTAAGGTCAGCTCCGAGGCTCCAGCCCACAGTGGCTCTCTGACGGCCTTACCTCCCACAGAACCCTGTTTGCACCCTAAGGCACCTTTCACCACAGCCTTGAGGGGCTGTGGTCCCCACCCCCAAGGCAGCCAGCCTCTGGACAGGGCGTCGGTTCTAGGCCCTGTTCCTCTCGGTTCCCTCACGGCACACCGCAGTGAAAGCTCAGGAATGCAGTCACCCTCGAAAAAGGGAGCTGCATACCCTGGAATTCACCACAACCATGTACAGTGACCGGAGATGTCATTCTGTAAATATGCTTCTCGGATTGGTTAATGAATGAAGCACTGTTGGCCAATAGGAAAGCAAAATAGGCGGGACTAGGAGACAAGGAGGATTCTGGAAGTAGTAGAGGAGAGGATTCAAAATTTATGACCAAGAGAGAAGAACCCCAGGCCCTCTCTCGGGTAAGATAAGACCATGTGGAAATACGTAGATTAATAGAAATGGATTAATATTTAAGAAGATCTAGCCGATAAGAAACAGGTAACTGGCCAACAGCTGTATATCTAACACAGCGTCTCTGTGTGTTATTTGGGGCTGGCGCGGCGGTGGGACCAGACCGGCGGGAAAAACCACTCATAACAGTACAGCCCTGGAAGGGTTCCGTCGAAACCGTGTGTTCACCCGGTCTCTGCTCCCTGGTAGGTGAGATGGTGGTGATCCAGGGGCAATGTCCTTGCCCAGTGGTCAGCCCTTGAGAGACCCTAGCCTCCAGAACTCCCTGGGGCACTAACAGCAGGAAGTTTCCAGAAAGGCAAAGAAAGGGTCTTCCATGGTCTTGCCTGGGAGAAAGAGACACTGCAGGGCTGGGGAAGAGATCACAGGAAAAGGCGCGAGGAAGGCTCTGGCTGGCTCAGGTGGGCCACACCCATCAGCAGCCCTACTGCCAGGAGCCCTTCTCACTTCAGCTACGGCCTTGGGGACACTCCTCCATCACCCTCCAATTGGCAGCCATGCTTTCCAAGCTGTCAGGCTAGAGCAGGGCTCCACAGGTGGAGTCTGGACTAGAAGCTGAAGTGACCTGCCTGTCCCTAACCCAGCCACCACACGCACCTACACGGCAACGACAGTCTCCTGCCACAATCACACTTGCCAGCCCCAAGATCACTGCCTCAGTGCTTGGGCCACACAAACACAGCGCCACTGTGCACCCATCGCCTCCCCGGGGCAGCTGTCACAGGAGAAAAGTGATCAGTAATGCCACTGGACAACTGTGTCTCCCGTTGCCACAACGCATTCGGGGCCCCGCTACCTATAGAAGTCACATCGTCCATCATCCCTCGCAACCAGGCGGGGACACGTGACTAAACGGTGGCCAACAGGAGCAGCATAGACGGAGTAGTCACAGGAGATGAGACCTGTACCTTTCACCAAGAAGCTGTGCGTATGGGAAGGCTACCAAACCAGGGGGCCTAGAGGGGCTTTCATAAAGGCCCCCACCACAGACACCCCCCAACATGCCCTAGAGACGTATCAACTCTAGCTAGCTCAAAACCACACGTGTCTATCTGTCTGAGAGCTTCCTCTGGGCTTACACCCTCCTTGTCTAAGCTCAGATCTCTCTTCTAGAAGATGGAGTCTCCGCTCACGTGTCTGGGTCAAACGGGTCCCCGTTGACCCAGTGGAAGTCGTCTCCAACTCTGCGCAGCCCAATCCAGGGTTCCCTCCGCGTGAACTTGAACATAAATTCCTGCAAAAGGAGAGGGAGACCGGGCATGGAGTCCAGTCACTGCGGCAGGGCCCGAGCGGCGGGCTGGGCCTGGATGGTGCTGGCCCTGGAGAGATATGAGCACTGAGATGGGGGAGTGAGGGTCAGTGACTACAGAACCCTGGGCAGTCACACTGCTCGGGTAAGACTGGGCCAGCTTCCCAAGCTTGCCACAGATGTCCCCAGACCCAGCGACTTGAAAAGGGTCCCACCCCCCATCCCCCAGCTTGCCTGGCCCACAGGGAATGTTAGATCCCCGGCCAGATTTTACCCACTGCAAGTTACCCTGCCTGACTTGTGGGACTTTCTCAGAAAGTGACACAGAAACATCGTGCGTCGCAGTCTGAGACCCACTCCTGTTCCCCAGGAGTGCTGCACTGTGCACAGCGTCCAAACTGAGCAAGAGACCAGGGTTCTGCCTCCCTCAGTCCGCAGGGGCCTGGGCGTGCCGCCTCTGACCCAGGCGCTCACCAACTCCTTCTGGCTTTGGATCACAGCCAGTGCTGCCTCGTGGGTGTGGCAGTATTGCCTCCCCGTGTTCCAGTCTCGGGGTTCCTCGGAGAAGTAGTAGCACTTCCTTCCGTAGAGCAGCCAGTCCTCGGGGCAGGGCGTCTCACACTTGATGCAGCCCTTGGAAGCTGCGGGGAGGGAGAAGCGGCTGAGAGTCCCCGGGTGCGCCTGGCCCTGCCATGCCCCCTGTGTCAGCAGCCTAACCCCACAGTTCCTTCCCTCTGACTGGACCTCAGTGTCCCTCAGAGAGACTGCTGAAGTCACTGTGCCTGGGGTGGGGGGGGGAAGGGGTTCCAAATGACAACAGAGGCGCTGAGGAAGCTGGCCAGTGTGTCTCCGTGGGGGACAGTATGGGACAAGCCCGAGGAAAGGTCTCTCTCTTAACCGTAGGAGCTCATGTCTGAAATGACCTGAAGGCCGCATCTCTGCAGCCAGGCTGTGGCCCTGGCAGGACAGTGTGCCCTTCTCAGAACCATGCTCTCCCTCGCTGGCTATCTCCATAACCCTGCTCAGAACATTCCTTTTAACATACCTGAGCTGGGTAGATAGATGGCTTGCTCAGTGAGCGAAGACGCTTTGCCTCCAAGCCTCACAGCCTGAGTTGCATCCCTGGGACCCATGCAGTGGGAGGTGGGAACTGAGAACTAACTCATGCATGTTGTCCCCTGACTTGCATACCCACGACTCCACCACTAAACATAAGTGAAAAGATATTCTAAAGTAGGGGCTGGAGAGATAGCCCAGACACACATGCACACACACGCGCACACACACGCGCACACACACGCGCACACACACGCGCACACGGACACACCCTTTACTGGGAAAGCAGTTCAGAATGTCTGTCCACCCTCCAAGACCCTCTTTTCCAAGTGTTTTACTTACACTCTGCATCTTCTGCAGGTCAGAACACACATTAATCCAAAACCAGGAGTTTGTGTGGCTTGGATTCACAACTTGCGCATTTCCCCTTATCTTGGGCTCATTTGAGGTTTGGCTTGGTTCTGCTATTTTAGCCCTGGCTGCCTGGACCTCACCACGTAAACCAGGCTGGCCTCAAATTCACAGACCTCTACTTGACTTTGTCTCCCAAGCTCCCGGATTAAAAGCATGAGTCACAGTGCCTGGCTCATTAGTTTTATAAGTAAGTTTTAGCTTTGGATTTTGACACAGTCTCATGTCACCAAAGCTGACTGTAGCAGTCTGTGTGTAATTGGCACCCAAAAGTTATGGGAGTGGCTTTGTTGGAGTAGGTGTGGCTTTGTTAGAGGAAGTGTGTCAGTGTGGGGGTGGGGCTTGAGGTCTTCCACGCTCAAGCTATGCCTGGTGTCTCAGTTCACTTCCTGTTGAATGCGGATGAAGATGCATCAGCTCCTTCTCCAGCACCACGTCTGCCGACTCTGCCTTAACCCACCAAGAGATACTGTACTAAACCTCTGAACTGTAAGCCAGCCCCAGTTAAATGTTTTCCTTTGTGGCCACGGTGTCTCTTCACAGCAATGGAACAGATTAAGACACTGACTTCAAATTCTGCAAGGCTGACCTTGAACCCCTGATTCTCTCCTGCGTCTACCTCCCCAAACCTCAGGTACCAGGTGTGTGCCACTATGTAGGCCTTACAGGCACATTTTAATCTTGATTGTTTTCCCCAATTAACCATATGGAATGATACTAACTGCAATTCCATGAGCATGTGGGGTGTTTTCCTCTTTATATAAGTGATTAATTAAGATACTGAGTAAGATAGGGCCAAGAATACAGCATACTACCCTGGGGGCTATACTGTCCTGGGCATCTACCAACACATGGGCACTGACACACTGTAGTGAGCTGTTGCACTGACCACGCCCATTGGGGGCGTGTGGACAGGTACGGGCATGACCTGGGGGGACTAGGTCTGGGGTCCCGGACCCAAGCTTGCTCTCTTACTTCCTGGTGGGAAACAGAGAGCATCTGGAGGCATCCTTGGAACGGGAACCTGCGGCGGTCATCTGTTTCTGGTGTAAGTGATTTCTCCCCGAATAAATTTCCATCAGCCTATGGTTTCCCAGGTTCTTATTTATCACGCTTTACCACACTGCTGGACGCTCTCTGGGCACACCTACGCACTGACTCAGGCCTGCTTGGCAGTACTGTCCACGGTGTAGACTCCTCCCTGGTTCTCCTGAGAGAAAGCTAAGCTTTGCTGAAAGCGCCAAAGCTGTGTCCACACATTCCCTGACCTGCCCAGGACAGGGATGGAGGGAAAATGACTCCTTCTGTAGCCTCATTCTAGGCAAAGCTGATCTGGCCCCAGTGGCCTCTCAGACCCTCTGCTTGTCAAACAAGTTGGACAAGGGAGATCTTGGTAGAGAGTGATAAAGTAAGTGGATTTTCACCATTTTAATGAGGCTACCTACTCCTGGTCCAACTGCCTTCTAAAGATTAAAGAGGCTGGAGAGATGCTCAGTGGCTAAAAGCACAGGCTGCTCTTGCAGAGAACCTGAGTTCAGTTCCCAGCACACACACAAAATAATAAAAAGAAAATACGAGGGTGGGGATGTAGTTCAGTGGACGGGCGCTCACCTAGCATGCTCAAGGCCATAGTCTGATCCCCAGCATTGCATAAGCCGGGTGTGGTGGCACCCACCAGACAGACCAGGAGTTCAGGGCCGGCCTCAACAACACCAGGAACTCAAGGCCAACCTGGGCTACATCACAGAGGCCAAGACACTTTCCCAGAAGTCCCCCGATCACTCACCCCTCCCTGCTGGGAGCCTCACCTGCCCTGCTTAACCCCTGCAACTGTCTCGCAGCACTCCATGTTTGCAAGCCTCACCCCCTTAAAATGTGTCCTGTGTAGCATTTAGAGTATCCCACTCCTGGCAGGGCAGTGGTGGTGCACACCTTTAGTCCCAGCACTTCAGAGGCAGAGGCAGGCGGATCTCTGTGAGTTAGAGGCCAGCCTGGTCTACAGAGCGAGTTCCAGGACAGGCTTCAAAGCCACACAGAGAAACCCTGCCGCGGGAGTATTCTACGCCAAAGGACACCCCTTCAGCATAAGGGTTATGTTGAGCTAAATACAACTTAGAACCAACAAATGCAAGCGAAGCTCGCTCTCCCTCTCTCCTTCTTCTTTCCTCCCTCTCCTCCCCTCCCTCCCTCTCCCCCCCCCCACCCAGCACTTACTCTAGGACCTGACATGTTGCAGAGTTCAGTAAGTGTTTGTTGAATGAATGTGACATTTTAAGTCTGATATCTTCAAATGTCACCTCCAAGAGGCTTTGCCTGCCTGGCCTAGCCTGCTCTGAATGCCCATGGCATTTTTGAATGAATTCCTTGGCACCATCGCTTCCTATGTGGCCAGTGAATGGGATGTGCACGGTCCGTGTGGAATTGTATTATTTCAGGGTCCAATCCCATTAGCAACCAGCCACTTCGTTTCTACTCTACTGTGTGCCTGCCCCCATTCCTACACACGGAGGAATGTGCCCAGCTGGGCATGCTGGGACGAGGTGTGCACACTGGTGTGTGCTGCTAACACATTCCGACACCCACACTCACCCAAGATGCTCATCACCACCAAGATGGCGAAGAGAAGGACAGCAATGGCCCCCAGCAGCAGGCGCGTCGTGGTATCTGCAGAGAAAAACAAGCAGGGCGCTGTCAGCTGCCACCTGCCCTCCTATCTCCAACCCCCCCCATGCCGGGTCCCAACAGCAGGAGCCGGACGGACGGACCGACGGATGGACGGATGGACGGGGTGGAACTGAGCAAGAGCTAGACCCACCCTCGGGGAGGCTGTGATGATGCCTGCCGTTGCAGAGCCTGCCGTTGGAGACTCTTCTGGACCACAGCCCCAGCTCGGCCACCCACAGACTCCTTCCTTCTATGCCGGCCACAGCTTCCTGACCTAGACTCTCCTGGTGTTTTTCCAGCACATTCCAGGCTCCACCCATCCTTCCCTCACAGCCTTGTGACACCGTCTCTCTGCCCATCTTTACCCATTTTCCAGTCCAGTCCTACGTTATTTCATGAGTGGAACCTTGGAGCACTTTGTCTCCTGTGTTAGGCCTATTTCACTTAACATGTTTTTAAGACTCATCCGTGCTGTAGCTTGTAACAAGACCCTATTCCTTTTATGGTTCGTTATTTCATTTTATGGATATACCACATTCGGTCTATCCATTTGCGATGGTTAGTTTTGATGGTCAGAGCGTGACCACCCAGGAAGAGAATTTCATTGAGCCATTGTCTCGGTGCGAGTCTGCGGGGATTGCTTCGGCTGTGTTCTTTGGTGTGGGAAGAACCTGTGGGTGGCATTCTTCCCTGGCTTGGGAGCCTGTCTCGATTGTTAAGATTAGAGAACATGTACTGAGCAATAACCATGCATCTATCCCTCTCTGCCCTAACTGTGATTTGACAGCTGCTTAAAGCTGCTGTCCTGACTTTCCTGCAATGGTGGACTGGAACCTGGAACTGTGAGCTGGAATAAACCCGGAATTGTTTCCTGCCTTGGACTTTTATCACAGCAACAGAAGCGAAACCAGGCAGAAGGTAGACACTGGGGTTTCTTCCCTTTGACCACTATAAATAACACAGCTATGAACATATAAATAACTCTGTTGGGACCCCTGCTTCCAATTCATTGGGGTGCAGGACTAGGAGCAGAGCTGCTGGATCATGGGGTAACTCTGTGTAACTTTTTGAGGAAACATCAAAGTGTTTTCCACAGTGATCATAACAATTTACATTTCCATCAGCAACACTGCAGGGATCCAGTTTCCCAACATTCCAGCGCCCACAGCTTCCTTTTTCTTACCATTATCATCATTTTTCTTACCATTATCATCATTTTTCTTACCATTATCAGCATTGTCTATAACATTTGGAATGCCTCTTCCAAACTTTTTGGTTTGGCTTTTCTGCCATCTTGACCATTACATGTACAGACCCACTGTCTGGGCATCATATTGGTGCTTAGCAATTCAGCATATGAATATCGGGAGGAAATTATCATTCAGTCCGAAACAATTGTCTCAAAGATGTGGCCCCTGACCCTCCTGACCTGCTTAGTCTGACTGGTTGTCAGCTGCCACCCTGGAGCCCCCTGAACCAGTGGCCTGAGAGTTCCTCGGCCCCAACCCTGTGCTGCTACCCTGTTCTTCCTCTCCAGTGTCTGCTCCAGTGGCTGCCCCAGGGGAGGGGAGGGGGAGAGGAAGGAGAGGAGGGACCAGTTTAAGAGCACAAACATTTGAAGACTTGGACTTTCAGAAGGAAATCAGAACACGAAAGAGAAGAAACCACCAGTGATATAATTTAAGAAAAACCTTCTGTCACTGAAGGACACGGATTTCCAGGTTGAAGGGGCCCATCAATTGTCCAGTGAGATAGATAGAAATATCTATACCCAGCCAATGTGTGACATGCAGGATGGAATTCTTGGATAGAAGCAAACTAAGTAGTTGGAATAAAGCAGCTCATGGTGAGACGAGAGAGCTAGGCTTTTCCAAAGCAGCACCTGGTGCTAGATGACCACAAACACTTTCAAAGTTCAGAAGATTTCCAAGCTAAAATATTACCTCCAGGAGGACTAGTCACCATGGTATCTAATAATTTTGCTTGGTGTTATGGTGGATTAGTGTGTGTGTGTGTGTGTGTGTGTGTGTGTGTGTGTGTGTGCACTCAAGAGTCAGCACCTGCAGAGCCCAGAAGAGGGAGTTGGGTCTGATCTGGAGTTGCAGGTGGTTGTGAGCTGCCTGATGTGGGTGTTGGGAACTGAACTCAGGTCTTCTGCAAGAACACACTCTATACCTGTTTATCCCTCTGTCCTTCAGTGTCAAAAACATTTTAATTATATCATAGATGGTCTCTTTCATGTTCTGATTTCCTTCTGAAAGTTCAAATGTTTGTGCTCTTAAACTGATCCTCCCCTCCCCCTCCCCCTTCTCTCCCCCTCCCTTCATCCTTCCCCCCTCCTCCCTCCTCCTATCTCTTCACCTCTGGTTTATTTCTGGGAAGATTTCAACTCCCCCCCCCCCCGTCACCCTTCTGCCAGGCTTTCACTTCTGTGACAATAATTTAAGGGGTCGGGGGTTTGTCGCAGCTGTGCTGTGGCGTCCTCTCTTACAGCAACTATTCTTGTTTTAGTGATGGACGAGCTTCTCTGAAGATGCTACTGAGAGCTGTTTGACCAGAGAAGCAGCGGGAAGAATGTTCACTCCTCTCAGCAGAGTCTTTAGAAATGCTCGTTGGGATTCCTGCAAGTGCTTGGCTATTGTTCACAGCTAAAGGCAGGAGGGCTAAGGAGTTCCCTGGAGCCCTAGCCACTGCTGTCAATGGGAGTGTGGCGGGGGCTCTGGCTGATTGACTGGGGCTGTAAATTTTCTTGGCTTCTTCCACGTGGGTGGACTGGAGGAACATCTTCTGTCTCCTCCCCTGAGGCTGTAGTCTTGGGGAGGGCTCTTCCTAAGAAGGCTGGGAGAGTACCCTCCACACTCAGTATGTGAAAGTGAACTTCATGGCCCGCTCATTATGTAGTCCTGTACAGTAGTCCTGAGTCTTGAGAGTTTTACCTCAGGTTCCTGCCAGAGATGGGGACAGGCTATTTAGATCCGGGTCCATATCTCTGAAAGAAATTCCATACCCTTCTTCCTGTTTTCAGCCCATCTTCCACCATCCCCTGTCCCTGAGCGCTTGGATCCTCAAGTGTGATGCCCTTGGCTGCTCTGCTCAATGGCCTTTCACAGATGGGCCTAAGTCTGTCGGGCTCAGCCCGTCTCACAAGCTCTCAGCTCCAGTCCCTAGTGTGACTGGCATTTAAAACGTCCCTCTACTGCTTCTTAATGGGCTTCTAAGGGGATAGAGAGTGAAATCCTGTATTCAGTCAGTGGTCTTGACCTGCGAGACCCTCAAACATTTTGGAATCATTTCCTTTGAGCAGGTCTAAGCACCACCTGCATCTACACCGCATCTACACTGGCCTGTACCAGGAGTTTATGCTGGATTTCTCCAGGAACTAAGCCTGACTCCTCAGCGGGTCAACACTGTGCTCCACTGGGGCCCATGCTGGGTTCCTCTAGAGCAGCGGCTCTCAACCTGTGGGTCATGATCCCTTGGTGGGGGGGCAGTCAAACGACCCCTTCACGGGGATTGCATAAGACCATCAGAAAACACAGATATTTACATTAGGATTCATAACAGCAGCAAAATGCAGTTATGAAGTAGCAATGAAAATAATTTTATGATCTGGGTGTTGGTGGTGCCCGCCTTTAATCCCAGCACTCAGGATAGAGGCAGGTAGATCTCTGAGTTTGAGGCCAGCTTGGTTTACAGAGCTAGTTCTAGGACAGCCTGAGCTACACAAAGAAACCGTGTCTCAAAAAACAAAATAATAACTTTATGGCTGCGGTCACCATAACATGAGGAACTGTATCAAAGGGCTGCAGGGTTAGGAACGGTGAGAACCACTGCTCTAGAGACTTACCCTGCGCTAAAGACTTTTCCTGCGCTATTCCAGAGTCTATGTTGAGTTCTAGAGACTTTCCCTGCGCTATTCCAGGATCTATGTTGTGTCTTCCACAGTTCTACACTGAGTTATCCCAGGGTCCAACAGTAGTTTCCTCCAAGGGTATATGCTTGTCTCTTCCAGGGGCCCACACGGGGCTTCACCAATGGGGTTTACTGTAGGATCTTCCAGGGGCCCACACGGGGCTTCACCAATGGGGTCTACTCTAGGATCTTCCAGGGGCCCACACGGGGCTTCACCAATGGGGTCTACTGTAGGATCTTCCAGGGGTCTACACTGGGCTCTATCATGAGTCTACGTTACATTCCTCCTGGAGTCTATGCTGGGGTCCACCAGAGGCCGACACTAGGCTCCTCCAAGGGTCTATACTAAGCTTCTGCAAGGATCTCTACTGTGTTTAGAGGCCTATGCTGGGCTCCATCGGGGAGCTACACTGGGTTCCTCCAGAACTCTGCTGGGTTCCTCTGGGGGATAAGTTACATTTCTCAGGGGCTTCTATGTTGAGTTCTACTGGGGTCTTGCTGCAGTCTGCACTGGATTCCTTGAGGGGTCTGCACTGGGTCTCTGAGGGATCTACCCTGAACTGCACCTGGAATCTCTGCCTGCATCCTCCGGCAGTGTGGGTGGGTGGCTTCAGGCAGTGTGAGAACCCTAAAACATGGAGCTTGCTCTCAGTACCCCGCTGTCTGTAGGCGGAGATTTGCCACAGACCCCCTCATACCCACATCCCAAAAGAAGCCCATGGTTGACGTCTAAACCACCCACGGCACAGGCTGGCCAGCATAACCCCGACTATTTTTAAATGCCCAAATGTGAAGCTTGGTAACTTTTAAATTTTTAGGTAGCATTTGCCAAATGCATGTGTGTGGTTTTGACCAGGAAGTTGTGGGTTTGTGCCTAATAAAAAAAAAAAAAAAAACTTTCAACATTAAAAATTCAGAATTGGTGGCCACTGAGAAATCTATACAGCCTGAAGTATGCAGGGTCACTCTGTCCCCTCTTCCTTACCCCGGAACACTCTGCCCCACTCTCAGGCCCAAGGCTGGAAATAGCCCCATCTCCAATCATCTTCAGGGTTCTCTGACCCCAGCAGGGCACTCTGGTCAGCTTTACCAGCCTTCACCCGGAAGGACAGACTCACACTGGTAGGGAAAGCAGCCTTCACAGGCCAACTAATGCCTGGTTTCTGTTCCCACAGCTAACCATTCACTAAGGACTGTCTTCCAGACCCCAGCCTTCTGACTGGAGCTCTCCAAGTCCTTCAAGCTACGAGGAGGGAAGAGCTTCTCCTGAGAGTGACAGACTCCTCTGATGGCCCAGGAGAGGAGAGCCATGTGCTCAGAATGCAACTGGATCCTGCCCGCTTAGCTTCTCCCAGCCAGTGTGTCCTTGCTCGTGCCAGAAGAGAGACAAGCTTTTCACATCAGAGGGCCCCATGGCAAACCCCATGGAGGGTTCCTGTGTTAGCAGCCAGTGTGTCCTTGAGTGAGGTATTTCAGATGCTCACACACCTCACTAAGGGCAGAGTGTGAGTTAAAGGTAACTAAGGCTCACACTCAGCCCCCTGTGGTCACAGCCGCTTGCTTGCTTGCGGCAAAGTTAAGATCAGAGTACAGCTATGTTTGGGGGCTCAGTGGTATCATTTCAGAAGCTTCCCCCTTCCCTCAAGATAGAGACCAGCCTAAGCAGAGGCTGCAAGCCCACTGGGTCCCCAGGGCCAGCAGATCTCTCCGCCACAGTGTATCATAGGAGAACTGAAGCGGAAGTGAGGAATAACAACAGCCTCAGGGGCAACCCCAGCTGAGCAGCTGCTCACCGCTGTTCCTGGCCCCTCACCCAGGCTGTTCGGGGAACTGGGAAAGGAGGCACCTCAGAGCCTACACTCCAGACCTTCCTCTGATTAGTGCTGTGAGTAGGAATCATGACATGACTAACGCACGCACCCACGACAGGAGAGAACCGGGAGAAGCCTACCAGCCGGAGGCTCAAGTTTACCAGTTCTTGGCTCCTCACCAAACTGAGTCTGGCCCTGTTCTGGGACCTCTGTGAAGGCTGGATATGACCAGGGCCTAGGAAGGTGTCTTAGAGTGAACAAGGCAGCCACTGACTGGTGAGGACCAGTCAGCCCATGGGCTCTCCTCTCTGGATTGAAACACCCAAGGAACATCTAGAAGACCTCAGAGGACCAACCAAAAAGCCAAGGCATTGAGCACCCAAGAGCCATTGGAGGGGATGCTCCTACATGCACCAGAGACCAAAAGAGGGGCTGTGGGGACATCACTGGGGACCCATGCCATTTCAGATGAACAAGGCTGGACTGTAATACCACATACGGTGGTGTGCTGGGCCACCACAGAGAGCTCCTCGCCTTCCTGCTGCCCAGCGTGTACCCTCTTCTTCAGCTGGTGGGCAGGGTCGGTCAGCCATGCTACCCTGAAACAGCCCTGCCCAGTGGGGGTAAGGGTAAGGGTTAGCAGAGCTGACCCTCTCAAACACTCACAAAACAAGCTTGTGTCACCCAGAAAACCCAGCCCCTAACCAGAGACAGCATCCAATACCGGCTGCTTGGTCCTTCTTCTGCACAAGCTTCCTGTCTGTTTCTCCACCCTAACAGCCTTGCTTCTGGGGAAGCTCCGTGTTCCCAACCACTATTGGGTTTCTTCAGAATCCTCAGAGCCCTCCACACACTGTCCTGCCCTGGCTCGCAGCCCTGGCCAGGGGTCCTCCATGTTCTGCCTCTCCTCACCTATGTGGGCACCGGTGGCCTTGTTCCCTCCAGATGACACCACCTTCCTCATGGACGGACGACCTTCCACGGCAGTCTCCTCCCCCCCTGGCAGACCTGCTGCCTTAAACCCTCACAGCTCCCTCAAACAGGCAGGCGCCATAGCCTGGCCTGGGTGGCCCCTCGGACACACCCGTTCTCACATTCTTTCTCGTCCCTCCCCTCACCCCATGCCTTCATCCCTCAGTACCCAGCACCCTAAGGCTCAGCTGTCCTCCCAGCCACCTGCTCTCAGTCCTTGTCCAGGAACTCCCCTGTCTGTCCCACACTCATGAAAGATCACCTACTCTGAGACACCCTTCTGACTGTCCCTAGTTACTGCATCTGGAAGCTGACTCTCCCTGTGGCTACTCCAGCATCCCCCCAACAGCACCAACCCAGGTTCCCTAAAAGGCATGTGTCTCCCGGCTCCGGGGTCACTCCCTGAGCCGGGACCGCTGGGACCCTTCTTCTTCCTAAGCCCCACCTCGAGCAGAGCGCCCCTCCCATCCCCACAGAGTACAGGCACCATCTCGGGGAACCATAGGTTTTGCTTTTACGAAGCACTAAGTGTTTTCTCCGCTACAGATTCAGGCCGTCACTCAGCAAAGCGGGGCAGGTGATTCGATTCACACAGGACCCAACTAAGGTTGGAGCAAGGTCAAAGAGGGAATCTGCAGCAGAGGGTCAAGGCTGTGACCAGAGGTGGTCCCCAGCGGCCCCTCCTACTCCCGCGGCGACTTCTACCTGCCCCGCCATGAGTGAATTCTCCCTCCCTTCTGCGAACTGTCAAGGTGACTGGGGCCACTTCTGGGTCCCGAGTCGGGGGCCGAGGGATGGAAGGCAGCGCGCTTACCCTCCAAGGCCGCCTTCCAGCTGGTGCTACCCTCATAGCCTGACCCCGATCGTCGCAGCAGCCCCTCGGGGCCACGGGCCTCGGCCTCGGCTGGCGAGCGTGGCCTGGGTGCAGCGGGCGCGGGGCGCGCGGCGGGGGGTGGCGGGCGGGTGCGCGCGGGGGGCTCCCGGGCCGGCTCCATGCCGTGGCGCGCGCGCACTCCTGCACCCGGCTGCGGGGCCCGGCCCCACGCGCACTCAGCGCTGCGTGCACCCCGCGGGCCCCCCAGGCCGACTCGGTGTGCTCTCGGGCCGCGGCGTCCACAGACCCGGGCTGAGCCGGGCTCCCGGCGCCGGAGCCGCTCTGGTCCCCGCTGTGCGCGCCGCAGCCTGTGCGCGCGGGGGAGGAGCCGGGACTGCGCGGGAGCTGCGACCGCGGGCGGGCGGGGTTGCAGGGAGGGAGGACAGTTCAGGTCACCAGCAGCGGAAGGCCAGGACAGTGATAAACTAAGATGCTGGGCGTGTGTGTGTGTGTGTGTGTGTGTCTGTGTGTGTGTCTGTGTGTGTGTGTGTGTCTGTGTGTGTGTCTGTGTGTGTGTGTGTGTCCGTGTGTGTCTGTGTGTGTGTGTGTCTGTGTGTGTATGTCTGTGTGTGTGTGTGTCCGTGTGTGTCTGTGTGTGTGTGTCTGTGTGTGTGTCTGTGTGTGTGTCCGTGTGTGTGTGTGTCTGTGTGTGTGTGTGTTCCCGGGAGAAGGTCCTGGGAAGGCTGCTCCTGGGGTGACCTGGAGCAGACGGTCCCGCCCATTCTCAGCAGCTAAGAGGAACATCTCACACTAAGGAGACAAGGCAGAGCAGCGGGACAGCCACGACTGACCATCTACTGATTCATGCACTCTCCTCCCCCACCTCGTTTCTGGTTTAGGTGGGAGTGTTCGCAAGTGCTCGTGGAAGCCAGGTGTCTTTATGGTATATTCATTCTCCATTTTTTTTCTTTTAATACAGCCCTGGAACTCACTATGTAGGCCAGGATAGCCTCTGGCTCACAGCCTGGCTCAGCCTCCCAAGTGCTGGGATTAAAGGCATTCACCACCACACTAGACACCATCTTATTTTTTGAGACAGTCTCTCACTGAACCTGGGGCTCACCAATTCAGTTGGACTTGCTAGCACCCTCCCCGGCATGTTGAGAATGGAGTTAAGAAAGCACAGGGCACAGTGGGTATGGGAGCCCAAGTCTGTCACCCTGCTGCTTGGGAGACTGAAGCAGGAGAATTAAGAGTTTGAGGTCGCTAACAGGTGGTGGCACGCGGTGCACACCTTCAGTCCCAGCACTCGGGAGGCAGAGGCAGGTAGAACGAGTTCCAGGACAGGCTCCAAAGCAATACAGAGAAACCCTGTCTCGAAGAAAAGACACAAAGAGTTTGAAGTCAGCCTGGACTACATAGACTGAGCCCAGCTTAGGTTGTATAGTGAGACCCTGCCTCAAGGATTAACAAGCAGAACAAGCCAAAGGAGTTTCTGAAACAGACACAGCAGATGTGTGGTTGACATCTCCCTGGCCTGTGCAGGGCCTTGGCTTGGCCCACGGGGGGCAGTAGGGATACTGAGTCCCTGCTGGCAATGTTTCAGATGGTGCAGAGCTCCACAGTTACAACACATACTGCTAAACAGGCTCGATGAGAACAGAGATGGGCGTGAGAAGCGGAGTCTGGATGCGCTGGCGAGATGGCTCAGCAGGAAAGGCACTGTCTGCTAAAGCTGAGAATGTGAGTTCAGTTCCTAGAGCCCATATGGTAGAGCCCACCATTTGTCCTCTGACACACACACACACACACACACACACACACACACACACAAATATAACGTGTTTTAAAAAGAAGCAGGCCTCTAGGAACCATCGCTCTCTGCAGAGGCGCGTTCCTGTGTCTAGAAGGCTCTGTGCCAGGTGTATTCTTCCTCCTGTCTCAGAATGCTGACTTTGTCTCCTCCCGCCATTATGTAACTGTGGATCCTGACCCACAAACCCAGAGTTGGGGGCAGGGGATGGCGTTTCCTTTTTTTAAATCAACTGAAGTGTGATTTTGGGTCACTGTCCCACTGGGGTAAAAGGAAATTCCATTTCAGCTTTTAAAACTCTTTCTCATCGAGATCAATGTAGACAATAGTTTACAGCCCAGGGCACGGCAGGGCCTGCAGGCAACCCCAGCATTTCCGTTCAGTGTCAACCTTGGTTATTTAGTGAGTTCAAGGGCAGCCTGGATGAGCTACATGAAACTCTGTTTCAAAACAAATAATTTTGATACCATTTTTAAATCTATAATTCATCATCCTTTAGTATACTCACAAGCTTGCATGCCATTCTACGATCTCATTCTAGAAGGTTCAGCCACAAAGGAAATCCCATACCTATCAAGCATACTCCCACCTCCTCTGCCCCAGCCCTGACCCCACACACACACACAGCCCCATATGTCTGAACCTTCTGCAGTCATGGATTATACGCTGACATAGCAAGCCCAAATCATTCCCTCTCCCTCACATGGCTTCTCATCAGGTATTTGGTGAGAAGGACGGAGAATGTGGCTGATATACCCATCAAGCTCGTGGCAGCGCCTGGCTTCTGTCTTATTCCATGAGGCAGGAATACCCAGGGCCCTGCATGGGCCCTGATAGCCGAGCCGTTCTGCCTCTCTGTCCTCGCTCTTTGCCCCGTTCCCTGGAGTCACATGTAGCCCAGGCTGGCCCTTACCTTGCTGTATTGCTGAGGGTGACCCTTTTGCCTCCACCTCCTGAGAGAGGTTCAGCAATGCGGAGGCAGGAGCAGCTGCTGGACCTCACCTCGGTAGACCAGGAAGCAGAGATATCCTGTCAGAAGCAGAGCTAGGCCAAACCTATCCTCCAGCTAGGCTCCACATCCTAAAGGTTCCACAGCCACCCCCCCCCCAAAAGAGTGCTCAAAGCTGATGAGCAAGTGATCAGACGTATGGGGCTGTGGGTGACATCTCACACTCAAGCTATAGCAGGGTTTCTTTACTTAGCTTCCTTGTGCCTCCATGCCCTATCTGTACAGAGCTGCAGTCGGTACAGAGGTCCAGCAACATGTGCCTTGTACCCATGAGGGTCTGAGTTTGACCCCCAGAACCCATATTAAAAAATAAAAAAGCCTTTAGTCCCAGCACTCTGCAGGCAGAAGCAGGAGGATCTCTATGAATTCGAGGCCATCCTGGTCTACAGAGCAAGTTCCAGGACAGGCTCCAAAGCAATACAGAGAAACCCTGTCTCGGGGGGGGGGGGACAGGCTTATTTGGGGGGCTGGAGAGATGGTTCAGTGGTTCGAGCGCTAACTGCTCTTCTGGAAGACTGGAGTTCAGTTCCCAGCACCCACATGGCAGCTCACACCTGTCTGTAATTCCAGTTCCAGGAGACCCGACACCCACGGCAAAACACCAATGCACATAAAATAAAAATAAATAAATTAAAAACTAAATAAAAAAGATAGGTGTGGTGATGTGCCCTTGTAAGTTAAGCACAAGGGGCTCCCTAAGCCAAATTGTCAAGTTGTGGGCCAGTGAGAGACTATCTGAACAGTTTTTAAATGGAGCTCAGCGGGTAGAGCCACCAAATCTGATGACCAAGGCCTCTCTGTGGGACCCTGCAAAGGGGAAGGAGAGAAGTTACTCCCATGCGTTGTTCTTTTACCTCTACATATGTGTTGTGGCATGTACACACATGAACACACTCACAAAATAAATGCACATAATTACAAATCTTCCACTGAAGTGTGAGCCTAAGCCTTTAATAGCTGCACATTTTCCAGCCCCCTAAAACCTCTACTAAAAGTGACAGTTCCTGCAGAATGGCCCAAAGTCGTCACCTGGCCTTCCCACATGTGTGTACAGGGCACACACACACACACACACACACACACACACACACACCTACAAGGCACATACATACTTCTCATGCTGTGTCATGAGCGGACAAATCGATATTAACACAGGAGGTGGGAGACACTGAATAATGACTATGACTCCCCTAACCCCAGCCTAGTTTCGTCCTCTGTGTAGTAACTTTAACTTGTACCTGGGACTCTGAGCCCAGGACTGCAAGCCAATGCAGAAAGACCTTTCTGGACAGAGCTGCATCCCAATGCAGAAAGACCTTTCTGGACAGAGCTGCATTTGTCTCCCTTTATTGCACGCTGTCTGCAAAGCTGTGGCCAGATACATACAGTATAACAATGAACCATATGAACCGCTTTTTGACTGGCCAGCTCGGCGCTGCTCAGCACACTCATGCCCCTAAGCAGCCATCACCACAGCCCACCTCCTGGGCATTCCTCATCTCGTAAACTTCTGCATTCATTAAACAACCCCTGTCCCACCCCACAGCCCCTGGTACCCACCATTTTACTCCGTCCCCATGGGTTTGACTAGTCTAGGTGCCTCCTGGATGGTACAGAAACAGCATAGCACAGCTTCTGCTGTCAAGATAATTCCCAGGGTGAGCACCAGAAAGGCAAGCCCATACCAGCTGAGGCAAAGGAGACACCTCAATTGGCTGTCACCACTGAGAGGTGGGCACCTTTGGCTAGACTCAGGCTCCATTTCTAAGATAAGCTCTGCCTCCCCTCAGTCTGCCTTTATCTTCTCCATTGGCTTCATCCTCAGACTCCACAGAGTGGAAGACAGCCACCATCACAACATCAAACTTTCGTCTTTCCGTGTGCAGAATCATTGGAGAAAGCGCTCATGTGAGGTCCTGCCAGCGTGGCACGTCACATGCAGCCTGTCTTAGTTATGGTCTCTGTTACTAAGAAAAATGCCATAACCAGACCAGAGCAGTCCACGGGGCCTGTGGCAGTGAACCAGGTTGTATCCCTGGTGCACAAATGGACTTCAGGAGCATTCCACATAGAGGGATGCTCTCTCAGCCTAGACACATGGTGAAGGGCCTAGGCCCTGCCCCAAAATGATGTGACAGACTTTGATGGTCCCCCATGGGAGGCCTCACCCTCCCTGGAGAGTGGATGGGGGCTCAGTGAGGGGCAGGGGAGGATGGGATGGGATCGGTATGTAAAATAAGATTGTTTTTAATTTAAATTAAAAAAAGAAAACTTGCTATCCATTTGAGGGTTGCTTTAAAACGAAAAACAAAAACACATGACCAAAAGCAATTGGGGAGGGGAGGCTTTCCCACTCTGAGGACACTGAGGGAGATCAGGGCAGAAACCCAAAGAGGAGCCTAGAGGTGAGAACTGAGGCAGAGGCCATGGAGAGGCTG